CCCCAAAACCCCAAAACCCCAAAACCCCATAAACCTGTTAGACAATTGAAATTTTGTGAAAATGGAGACGTCTACATTGGTGATTATGCTGTTCAATAAAACAAGGATGTCTAGTCCTTACTTCTTGAAAAATATTTCTTAGTCCCAAATTGTAAGAGGCTTTAAAACCGACATTGTCAGTCCGAGCTTCTCAAGTAAGTTAAATCACTATCATTCGTTCTACAGATTGTGGAAAGTCTGAACCAAGATTCGTAAAATTATTTTTATTATCAAACTTTTAAGTGAAAAGGTTTGATTCAAATTTTGATATTTTATAATTTATCGTATCATTATTCAGATATCCAGGATCCTTGCCAAAGTTTTATAGATGCACATATGAATAAAATCTAAAAAATCGAATTGTGGTTTAGATAAAATAAACCGGTAAATTCTAGAAAATTGAACTGTCTCCATCTGCCCATCTCTTGTTCCATTTTACGGTGAACAGTGTCTCACTGCTTAAAGATCAACATTCCTATGGGTCATGGGGTTCAATATTGTTCATATATCTGTAAGGGATGGCCTAACCTCCTCATAAACTCGTTTTCTCTTTTAAAACTTAGCTATTTTTCTGAGTGAAACCTATCCAAACAATTTGGATAGGTGCTGCTTTGTTAATATCCTTGCTTACACTTTCAAATCCAGATTTGAACATATGTTTGCTTCAAAGAAATCATGAAAAATACTAGCATTACTTTCTGGACCAATTCAGGCTCAGAGGTTACTCTCTGAAGTTCCATCCAAGTTTGAACACATTTAAAATCAGCAACAGAAGGACCTAAAGCCTCTTTAGAGAAGAAATAGAGACTTAGGTTTGCTTTGAGGGATAGATCAAGAAGGTTTGGTAATACTTCATATGGAGAAGGATGCTAAACCAGTTTGTTCATGAAACAAAAATTAACATAAAGGGTCTTGTGTAGCTATTTGGGAAGAGGTTTTATACGAGGCCTATTGCTCTGGAGAAGGCCTGGAGGCAGATCTGCTAGATAAGTTTAGGTCGCAAGCTTGGACGATGGGAGACTTAGAAAATATGAAGCAAATTTCTTGTTTTATTTTATTTCATCCACTTTATGCTATGATAAAAAATTTCAGATAATTTTTGATGTATGAGGCTTTTAACTTGCTAAATAAGAAATTTGAGTTTTTAGAGCTTGTGTATAAACTCAAGCTTCAAGCCATCAATATTAAAATCGTATAAAATGATATATTTCTTTAAAAAGGTGTATAACTTTCAATCATGTAATGAATCTTACAGACGCCTGAAGAGGACCAAATTTTGATTAATTCAGATAATTATGAACTTTCTTCGATTCTAACAAGGCAATGAGGGAGCAGATAAGAGCTAATAGGTTCTTTAATTATGACATATTTTAAGTTGAAATTTATTTTTAAAATTTCCAAGTTACCAAAATGTTTGTTTCCTCAACAAATATTCCAAATCTTGCCCTCTCTCTATGGCTGCTTTAAAAGCCAATAATTCAAATTCAAAACCTCTTAAATTAACCTTCTTTATTAATAAAAGCTTGAAGATCTTCTTGTTATTTAGCAGTGTTCTAGAAATAATGAAGTGAGTTCAAAATTTTAGAAACTTCTCTAAAAGAAGAGAGAAGAAAGACAGCTTGCCTCTTTAAAATGGTTTAGAACTTTTTCCTCTAAACTAATACAATTTAAATTACAGTTTATCAGCTAGTTCTCGCCTCCAACGCTCTAGTTAAAAGATAATGAATCCTTAAATTAGGAGTTTCATAATATTCATCAGTTTCGTTCGGTGAATGGAATCTTTTGATGATTTGTTCAAAAATATCCGGAAAACAAGATAAGTTTTAGACGAAAGAAAATAATCCAAGTTTTATATGTCTGGGAGGCTATATTAATTGACTATCCTTCCCTCTTGATGTAGTAAGCCTATATTAGCTGATGAATATGCCATCGAAGGTTGACAATTTGCATGTTCACCGAATTATGAGAAATTGCTAGCAAAAGCACACGAAAAGATGTAAGGAGCACCAATTTGTAAGTCTAAAGAGTTAAAGGGATCAGTTTAAGTCTTGAAAATTTTCATTAAGAGTTTTAAGTCTAAAAATTGCCAGAAAAATAGATATAATTTGCTGATAGTAAATGAAGCAAGATTCCTTTCTGGTGATCTTCTCAAAGAGATCATCTACAAAGCAAATTGGCTCTCATTTTTGTGTCTTCTTTACTTATTTTAAACTTATATGGGCCAAGCTTGAAATGAGGTCCACCAAAGCTAGTTATTAAATTCGAATCTTCTTCCGCAATTGAAGTTTCTAAGCTCTACAAGATATTTTTACTTTTTATTGAGATCCCTTGCCAATCAAGCAGTTTTTATACTCATTAGAAGATTTAAAAGAGAATTAGTATACAGTAAATGGAGGAATAGAGATGATTCTCTAATTCACCGATAAAGTTGTAGTATATCATTCTTTAGAAACACCAATATTTCAAAAAGGTATTTTGTTCTGAATTTTTTAATAATAAAAGTTTCATATAAGGTCGATTAGATAAGTTAAATTTACAAACCTTAAGTTTGCTATATAGTCCTTAAGTTTGTCTCTAATCTTTTCTGATTAAAAGTGACAAAATAAACCTCAAAAAGGAATGTAAGAAGGTGTAAGCTTCATTAGTATTAGTCTCATTTAAAATAGCCAACTTTATAAAATCTCCAAATTGGCAAACAAATAGGGATTATATTTGTTCTCTTTTTTCTGAATTCATTCTATCGAATAATTTGTTCAATGCTTTGTTTCTTCTCAGGCTGAAGAGACCTATCCAAGAATATTCTTTAGAAGTATTAAAGGACTTCTAATACTACTGTTGGGCTTGATAACAGCCAAGAGACGAAAGAAAAATCAAGAGTGGGACCAAAAATCGAGAAAACAAGGTTTACTACAAATTATTAATGGGTCGTCAAATGTTTATTCAGATTTCCCTTCTGCGTGAACTTCTTATTTCAAATTGGACAGGTGTAGGGCTTGATTCCCATGTGAACTCTACAATGATCTAGCAGGTTCCAACTTCTTTCGAATTCTTTCTTTCAGACACCTTTGTACTGGCACACATAGACATACATAGGCCTTCCAGTGATGGGAGAGTTTTTCTCTTTGATTCTGTAATCATATTCTCTAAGTTTATAGAGATAGTCCAAGTTGTTCACAGTCAGAACTCTATTCACTAGTCTTTGTTGCTTCTTGTCAAGTCCACAGGTACAAAACTTTTGACGAGGGTTCGCCTTCTATAAGTCTAAGTTAGCATTGGAAATATCTTTTGAACAATATTCTCTACCTGAAGACTTCCAGCTGCCTGATTGCCAGTGAATCCTAAAGAACCTTCACCAAGAACGTCTGAAGATTCTGCTGAGGTACTTTTCACTCAGTGTTTTGATTTTATATTAAGGCTAAGTCTCCATTTATTCTATTCGATCCTGGTTGATGGCTTGAAGATAATTGCGAAGCAACATCATTGAGAGAAGGGAGAGACTTACCCCTCTCAATATTAAAAGGAGGATAGTTTTTATGAGCTATTTTAATGCTTCCTAAATCATTTTTATTCGATAAGGCATTTGAGCTTCTGCTTGCTGACATTGGATAAAAAATTTTAAATAATTATTAGGTGAGGATTTTCGAATTTCAATTGATCTTCTTGCCTACGGGGTTTTGGGGTTTTGGGGTTTTGGGG